GTGGATCACAAGGTCAAGAGATCGAGACCATACTGGTCAACATGGTGAAACCCCGTCTCTACTAAAAATACAAAAAAAAATTAGCTGGGCATGGTGGCGCGTGCCTGTAATCCCAGCTACGCAGGAGGCTGAGGCAGGAGAATTGCCTGAACCCAGGAGGCAGAGGTTGTGGTGAGCCGAGATCGCGCCATTGCACTCCAGCCTGGGTAACAAGAGCAAAACGCCGTCTCAAAAAAAAAAAAAAAAAAAAAAACCCAGAAACCTCAATGATCAGGAGATACCTGAAGAAATGTAGAATGAATTATGCAACTTATTGGGGAAAGAGAAAGAACAGCAAATGCAGACGCCCTGAAGCAGAAGCATTCATGGAATATCGAAGGTACAAGAATGGATGTTCAAACAATGTTCCTTTGAAATGATATGGAGGTCAAGAGACGAAATCAAAGAGAAGGGCAAGAAATTAACAGTCATTATTCCTGGGGGTATGACCTCGTAATTATAAAGTGCTAGGTGTCTAAAGACCACTTATGAAAAACAATAATAGCGAATGTATATATGTCATGGGGATCATAAATTTAAAGCCACAAAAGTGAAAGCCACAACTGTCTTGACACTATGTCAACTGGTACCCGTGGCTATGAGGGTTTCCAAGGATTATTCACCTACATGAAAAAAGGACTGTATCTCCAACAACTTAAACGGAAGAGAAGACAGTCTGATCTGGAAAACTGACAAAGAGGTCAACCTCAAAAATATGTTTTATGATGTATGGTTTTAAAACACCAGTATTTCTAAATTAATAGATATCATACATGACTTCAAATATGTATAGATACCCAAAGTAAAAATGAGCAGACATTTGACCATCTCACCTACATCCCTATAAATTTGACTAAAACGTTTGGCTAAAACATTTTTAGAATCACCACATGGGGAAAAAATGGTAACTGCTTTCTATTTGGTCACCTTATACTAGAGCTTATAAGAAATATTCAGTAACACAGGAAAAGAAAACCAAAAAAATAAAAATTAAAAAAAAAAATCATCAGGCCAGGTGTGGCGGCTCATGCCTATAATCCTAGTGCTTTGGGATGCCAAGACAGGAGAACTGCTTGAGGCCAGGAGTTTGAGACCAGCCTGGGCAACATAGCAAGCCCCATTTCCACAAATAATAAAAATAAACCAGACATGATGGTGAATGCCTATAGTCCCGGCTACTTGGGAGGATCACTTACGCCCAGGAATTCGAGGTTGCAGTAAGCTATGATCGCACCACTTTACTCACTCCAGCCTGGGCAACAGAGCAAGACTTTGTCTCTAAAGAAAAAAAAAAAATCAATGGTCCTCAACACTGGCTGAAAATCAGAATCACCTGGAAGCTTTTAAAAACTACCAATGCCTTGACTACCCACTAAATATCTGATTGGTTTGTGGTGAGGCATGAGCATCCTTTGTAGAAGCTCCCCATTTCCAAGAATGCTAATACACAAAATCTCACTTTTAAAAACTGCCACTTAACTACACAAACCTTCATTTCTAAGGAAGAGATTAACCAAATGAGTTTAAATTTTAGCTTATATTTCCACATGGTAAACTGTCTGTTCTTCGAACTGACCATTTAAAAGTCATCATAAACACAACAGATTTCTAACTAACTTGAAGGGAAATTTAAAAAAAGAAAATGGGAAGGAAACAAAGTGGTCCTCCTAACTCAGTAGTGCAGGATCTGTAGTAGAATATCGCTGTGGATGATTTCTAAAACTCCTAAGTCTTACCTTGATGAAGGTACAAACTTCGGAGTTTGTATATCATCTTTGAAAGTAAAAGACACAACTGCATATGGACAAACGTGTCTTGGTCTTCGCCTTAGCTCATCAAAGCCATACTCATAAAAATAATACTAAAAATAAGAAAATGCAAAATTAACTTCTTTAAGAAGGCAAGGTGAAACCTTATATTTATATGCCTGATTTCTGAGAAATAGAAACCATATATGCACCTCTGACAAAAAACTTTCTTTAAGCTCTACTTGCCCATTTAACTAAAATAATTTGTACTTTGTATTCATTTTGTGATATAAAATATTCTCCATCTAAGTGTATCAGATCCCAGGGTATTACTAAGTATTCCAAAACTTTACTTCTGAAGAGCTGAACACTGGGAACATGGAACAAACTTCTCAATAAAAATATTATAAACAGAGCCTAAGCTCCCAGGTCAGCTCAGGATAGCCAATCTAATACAAAAAGCAAAATACCAAGGACACAATCTCAACTAAACCAAACTACAGTTTTGCTATTTCAAAAGAAAAACACATCTGGGCTCCAACTGCAAAGTAGCAAAGGAGATATGGAAAAGAATACCTATGCAACCTATGGTTACACAGGTGACAAAGGTAGCTGACCCTCTTCCCATTATCCATTAGCCTTTCCCCTTCACCCCTTCACCACATTCAGTATATGAGTTTTATAACTTGCTGACTAGTAATTTTCACTTTAAGAGTGCGTGAGTTTATGAACACAGCAGTATTGTCCTTCAGAGTTCATTCCCCTGGGAAAATATTTATTTCAATAATGTTGTTATTGCTCTACAAATGCCTGGAGATTGTTTTGAAACATAAGGCCAGTTTGCAAGTCCTTCTAGAAAGATAACCATCTTACATGTACACTCCACATCTACCAATACTGCTACTGTCCAGAAGGTAATCAAATAAGTCAGTTCCAAATGACTCTGGTGAATATAATTTTTGCTAAAAGCCCACAACAATAGGTCTTAAAATTTCATTTTACATAAATAAAGCAAAAATTAAAGAAAGAACATTTCTAGGGAAGTTAACATTACTACTTTGCACAAACGGTCCATTTAGCTATAGACATTTTTTTTTTTTTTTTTTGAGATGGAGTTTCGCTCTTGTTACCCAGGCTGGAGTGCAATGGTGCAATCTCGGCTCACCGCAACCTCTGTCTCCCAGGTTCAAGCAATTCTCCTGCCTCAGCCTCCCGAGCAGCTGGGACTACAGGCGTGCGCCACCATGCCCAGCTAATTTTTTTTGTATTTTTAGTAGAGACAGGGTTTCACCATGTTGACCAGGATGGTCTCGATCTCTTGACCTCGTGATCCACCCGTCTCGGCCTCCCAAGTGCTGGGATTATAGGCGTGAGCCACCGCGCCCGGCCGACATGAGCACAGGTGCCAGGTGCAGTGGCTCATACCTGTAACCCCAGGACTTTGGCAGGCGGAGGCAGGTGGATCACCTCAGGTCAGGAGTTCAAGACCAACCTGGCCAACATGGTGAAACCCCGTTTCTACTAAAAAAAATACAAAAAAATGGCCGGGCGCGGTGGCTCAAGCCTATAATGCCAGCACTTTGGGAGGCCAAGGCAAATGGATCACGAAGTCAAGAGATCAAGACCATCCTGGTCAACATGATAAAACCCTGTCTCTACTAAAAAATACAAAAATTAGCTAGGCATGGTGGTGCGTGCCTATAGTCCCAGCTACTCAGCAGGCTGAGGAAGGAGAATTGCTTGAACCCAGGAGGTGGAGGTTGCGGTGAGCCGAGATCGCGCCATTGCACTCCAGCCTGGGTAACAAGAGAGAAACTCCGTCTCAAAAAAAAAAAAAAAATTAGCCAAGCGAGGTGGCAGGCGACTGTAATCCCAGCTACTCTGGAGGCTGAGGCAGCAGAGTCGCTTCAACCAGGGGGCGGAGGTTGCAGCGAACCAAGATCACACCGCCGCACTCCAGCCTGGGCAACAGAGGGAGACTCCATCTCAAAATAAAATAACAAAATCCTAATTATAAAAAATTAAGAATAGAGAGGCCGAAAGAGGATGATCACTTCAGCCCAGGAGTTCTACGTCAGCCTAGGCAAAATAGTGAGATCCCTATCTCTATTTAAAAAAACAAAAACAAAAAACCATTGCTTTATAGTCAAACTTCATACAAAAATATAACACTAAAGTTCATTAAATGTTACTTTTATATATGTATAGTTTAAAATATGTCAATAATACGTGAATAAGGCTTAAAAATTCTAGGTTTGCACCTTTAAAAATGTTAATAAAGATAGAAAATATCTATCAAATTGACAGTACAAAATGTTATGAATTAAGGTATTTCAAGGAGTTACAACTTTATCTTCAAAGATGAGTAATATCTTATTAGGCAGGAGATCTTCCTAGGCCAGGAAACACCAAGGTTTCAAAATGAAGTCTGTTGAGGGCAATAATCATACAAAAACCAGGCCACAGTCTACTGGCAGAAAGAGCTAGACTAGGGAGTCTATAAATATTACCCTATAACCCTGAAGAGCCACTGTATGTTTTTGAGACATTTCAGAAAACACTGAATAAACAGCAGCTATAGACACTGGAGTCTGAAAGTGCTATACAGAAACCAGAGTCTAGTGGTGTGGGGACAGAGAGAACTGAAAGGACAACATTTTAAAGAATCTGGTAACAAACAGATATGAAGTCCTAACATTACAACAGATCAGGCACCTACCTGAGTAAGCTCATAGGCTCTGTAAGCCAAAAGTGATGTAACTCGATTGGCATTCTTCGACACGTGACATTCATGCTTTGGTGTGGGATCCAAAGCACTTTTATTCAACATAGATTCCAAACTTTTTACACCCATGGGGTCATATATACTCTTTATTTTACCCTAAAATAGAGAAAACTTTTTAAGTGTGTACCTAAACCTAATTGTTGACTATACAACATTAATATTACGGAATACTTCTTTGAATATAATCAACTATACTAACCACTTTTTCCCTTTAATATCACAGAATGGAGGGGAGCAGTGGCTCACGCCTGTAATCCCAGTGCTGTGAGAGGCCAAGGCAGGTGGATCACCTGAGGTTACAAGTTCAAGGCCAGCCTGGCCATTATGGCAAAACCCTATATCTACTAAAAATACAAAAATTAGCCAGGCATCGTGGCACATGCCTGTAATCCCAGCTACACAGGAGGCTGTGGCAGGGAGAACTGCTTGAACCAGGGAGGCAGAGGTTGCAGTGAGCAGAGATCGTGCCACTGCACTCCAGCCTGAATAAGTGAGACTCCATCTCAAAAAAATAAATAAATATTTCACAGAACACTTTTACTAAATTTGAAGCAGTAAGAAAAAGTTAATCACCCAAAAAAAAACCATCATTTGAACTTGTTTAATAACAAGTAAATAGAAACTCCATTCACAATACTCTTCACTAACATAAATTACATCACCAACATATTACTCTCTACATTCCTTTCTCTGGAAAGGAAAATAAACTCTAAAGTACCGGTAGCTTAGATCAAAGATGGCAAATAAACCTTTCTCAAAAGTATATACCTACTAAACACTAGCAAGCATCAACTTTTAATCAATCTCCTAAAGATTTAGCATCATCTAAAAATTAAAATCCAAATCAAATGTAGTTTTTAACATGTGAAATGTATAAGTTTAAATTACCTTCATTATTTTAAAAATAACAACATCACCCGTTGCCCCAGTGTCCAAAGGATTCGCTTGTAATAAATCAGCATACCTAGAAAGATAGACACCTAGAAAAGAGGAAAAAATTTGAAAAACTGATTACATTTTTCAAAATCACTAGCACTAAAATATTTTTTAAAAGTTATCCTTGATCGATTTGAAGTACACAAAAATCAGAAACAAAAGATAAAACTGATTTTACATTTCAGAACCTATGACTAGTCTCTTTTTCTGGGAACATAATAAGGCACGTATTAATTTATTAAGAACTTCAGGGAAATTACATGAGATAATATATTTTTAGACAACAACTGAATAGTAGATATTCATATTTAAAAAGAAAAAAACATTACCCATGGAAGGAATGCCAAGAATTGTTATTTTGGACTGACCCACATGTAATCCTTTTTCACATATGCTTTGAACCTAAGTTTAAAAAAAAAAAATCACTTCATATTGCAATCACAGTAACATTTAAAACATAAAAGATAATTTTATAAACTTGTTTTAAATAAAATCAAAGCTTCTAAACAATATATAATTCTAGATCACAAAAATCTTATATATATATGCTACTTTATATTAATGTGAAATGTGAAACTGACTGATACTTCTCAAAATAATCATGTCTAGAATCCATTTTTATTTAACTGTTTTAGAGAGAGAGTGCCTCTGCCCCCTAGGCTGGAGTGCAGTGGCATGACCTTGAATTCCTGGGCTCAAGTGACCCTCTCACCTCAGCCTTCCAAGTAGCTAGGACTACAAGTGCTCACCGCCATGCCTGGCTACTTTTTTTTTCTTTGAGATGGAGTCTTGCTCTGTTGCCCAGGCTGGAGTGCAGTGGTGTGATCTTGGCTCACTGCAACCTCTGCCTTCCGGGTTCAAGCAATTTTCCTGCCTCAGCCTCCCCATTTTGTGACTACAGGCGCATGCCACCAATCTGGCTAATTTTTCATATTTTTAGTAAAGACGGGGTTTCACTGTGTTAGCCAGGATGGTCTTGGTCTCCTGATCTCGTGATCTGCCCACCTCATCGTCCCAAAGCACTGGGGCATTATAAGCATGAGCCACCCCACCCGGCCCTGGTTAGTTTTTTTTTTTTTTTTTTTT